TCGAGGGTACGCCCGGAACACCGTCGCCAGGGCGTGGGCCCATCGTCCCGCGCAAGGAGTGGCAGGACAGCCCTACAGGCAAATCCAAGACGCTCCGCCCGACTGGCGCGTCGATCAGCTCGCTCCGCACGTACACGGCGCGGAGGGCGTCCAATGCGACGCCTGTCGAGATGATCGGACAGCAGATCGCACCGTGGCCCAGCACGGGCACGACCGAGCCGTCGCCGCCCGCGCCGTCTAGCACGACGGAAGGGACCTTCAAGCGCATGCACCGCCGCACCATGACGCCCACCCCCGAGCCCGATCCTGCGCCTGTCTTCCAGCCCCTGCGTCTCCGCCCCTCGCGCATCCGCCCGACCATCTCTGTCGCCCCCAGCCCTACGGAATCGCCACAGTCGTCGTCGGAGCAGGCGCTCGACAAGCGAGCGCCTTCGTCGCTTACTTTTGGCTCGCGGTCTTCGTCAAGCTCGCTAGATGTCGAAAACACTCTGCACGCGCGTGGTTTGCCCCCGGTCTTTACGCGTCATGCTCGTAATCGGTCGTCCCTTCTTCCTGACGTCCCGTCGCCGCGCGGCAGCCGGGGGAGTACACACGGGATGCCATTGGCCCGCGAGGCGAAGCGCGTTCTCGGGATGGGTGGGACGATGGGTGGCTCTGACAAGTCGGGCTACCAGGAGGAGGAACTCGATGCCTCCGATCCAGACTCGGACATCCCTAATGAGCTACAGGTGCTCTTATCCGCGTCGGGTGCCCAGTCACCTGCCGATGACACGCTCTCGTTCCGTCCGTCTACCGCCCCGTTGCCGTCCCCCGGTCTGCCACCCCTTGCACCTCTACCAATCTCGCCGTCGCCACCACAGCTGGAGCTCCCAATCTTCAATGTGGAACTCGTCGACCACGACATGGACGAGGGCGGTGCATCGTCGGAGGAGGACACGAAGAAGTCGTTCGACTTCACGGGCGAGCTCCAGAAGCTGAATGAGTCGGGTGCGTCGGATAGGCGCAGCTTTGTCGAGCAGCTGGAGGTTGCTTTCAAAACACCAGCGAAGATCGACCTCCGCGGACTCCTTCGCGTCGAGGTCCCTCCTCCGGTGCCCACTCTTCCTACGGCGTTGCAGGACACCTCTGCGCCCTCCACCTCAGCGTTGGATATGACGTTCTCGGGTTTCCAGAACTCGCGCCCGCTGCAATCCGTCTCGCAGCTTGTGGACGTGCGGGAGCCGACCATGTCCAGCGACAGTGACAACTCCATGGAAGTCCAGGTTCCTTCGGCGTCCCGTATCGTCGACCTCAAGGAGCCCACACTCTTGCCTGGGTCGGACAGCCTCGGCAGCGACGAGAGCCTGGCGCTTCCTCATCGTCCTTTCGCCTCTGGTCCCTCCGACGGACAGCTCAACGTGAAATTCAAGTTCGGTGGCGATCTTCCCAAGGAGGACGCCGTCAAGAAGCCCTTGACCCTCTCTGACATCATCCCTCCCCCGTCGCACGTACGCAGTCAGTCGCTCTCCTCGCTCATGGAGGAGGATGATTCGGTCCTCAAGTCCATTTTCGCCAACGCGGCGGACCTCCCTGTCCCTCGTCCGCGTGTCAATTCAGACTTAAGCGAACGACGCTTCGCCGTGGAGAACTCGCGCCAGTCGATGATGAGCATGCACTCCCGTACGCGGTCGCGCCCATCGTCCGGTATCAGCTTTACTGGTTTTGATTCCTTCGAGGAAGTACGCCGCGGCTTCGAGTTCCACAACAACCGTCCTGCGTTCTACCCGCCGCCCGTCGCCAACAACAGACGTGCTCCTCATGCGCGGCAGGACTCGCTCTTCAGTATCGCCTCCGTCTCATCATATGGCCACGTCACCAATCCCGGCATCACGGATCCCTTCGAGTACGGCTTGCCCATGCCAAGCTTGCGGGAACGGCCGTCTTCTGAAGATCTTTCAATCTCTATGTCGATCAATGTGGACGACACCTTCTCCTTCCTCGGACGCGATCCTGCCCGCCGCAGACGGGTGGACAGTGATACGTCGAGCTTCTACTTCAAGGCGCCAGTTCAGCCTTCCGCTGCTCGGGGTCATCGCCGCCGTGAGTCGAATATGAGCGTGTCCTCGCAAGGCCCGCCTAACAGCTTCTACAACTACAATCGGGGCTACGGGAGTCATCGTCTCAGCGAGAATGACACGAGCACGAGCGGCAGCTCCTTGGCGCATACCTACGCGATGTACGGTGCCAATGGCGGACGCGCAGCTTGGGCGAGGCATCGCCCGGACTCATCCATGGATTCGGTGCTCAGCGATTACTCCGTCTCCCGGCTGGCCCGACCGGGCATGGGCGGCGACAAGATGTTCGACAGCGCCGCTGACCGTGGTATGCCTCTCAGCGCCATTTCAGCCTCACCGCCGGAGAGTCGCAGCGGTTTCCGCAACCGCTCTTCCTTTGATTCCATCATGGACGAGGAGCGCCGGTCCTCGATGGAGGACTCGCTTTTCGAGAAGACGGGACATCGATCTTCCATGTCCTCCGACTCTGTCTTCGGTTACGACGACCGCAATGCGCCCAACGGTCATCTACTGCCGCCCGCACACTTCCGCCCGTTATCGATGCTCAGCATGCACAATAGCATCCACAGCCCGATGAAGGAGGACGACACGATGATCTCGGTATGTTCGCCTCCGCTACACTTTGCAGCAGCTGACTTGTGCTTATAGATGCTCGGCGGTGGTCATGTCCGTCGTCGGTCCATCGGCTCCAGCTTCGAGGCGTCACCTTGCGTGCGCGTCGAGAAGCGGAAGCACGCCATCCATGAGGACGACCATGGGCCTAACAAGGCGCGCATCGTCACCAAGGCCTCCATCGCATCGACGTCCTCCTCCAAGTTCGGCGGCGAGAGGATGATTAGAGCGACACAGGGCCTGCTCCTACGCCAGAGTCTTGAGGACAGCTGTCTCGTCGCTGCTGGCGAAGATATCTCCGCTCGTGAGTCTTCCCTTTTTTTTTAGTTCCGCTACTGAGGGTGCATTCTATTAGTGCTAGCCGCCCCCGTGTTCTCGCGCCCGAGCCCCAATTCCCGCTCGCGCTCCTCGACCATCACGACCTCAAGCTCGGGCGGCGACACTCCGCCCCTGTCGTCCGCCGAGTCCATGTCCGAAGGCTCTCAATCTAGTATCGACATCGACATGTCGGAGGTCAACGTCATCCTCTCGAACACGACATATCCTATGGCGACTACCGCGCGTGATCGTGTTCGTGCACGCGCTCGCGGACACGGACACCGGCGCCGTGTCTCTGTTGCCCAGTCCCGCGCCTCGCGGTCGTCGGTGTACGAGACGATCCATGAAGAGATGGCGAGCCCCGCGCCTTCGTCGACCGCCTCCAAGAAGAGCAACAGCCCGACGGCCCGCCAGGGTGTCTTCGTTGTCGATCCAGACGCTGGCTCCGTCGACTGGAGTCCCGGCGGGCGAGGGTGGGACGACGAGCGGGGGATCATCGCGCTGCGCAAGTACTACGCTCTTCGCCACGAGGCGGAGGACACTGTCAGCGAGAGCAAGCGGACTTGGTCTGACACGCCCTTCTCCGTATACGCGCTACAAGGTACGCACGGCCTCTCCTCCTTCCTTTGCATGCTGAGCGTCCTCTAGCTTTTGAGCCCCCGAAGCAGCCTGAGGCCATGCAAGCGCTTCTCCAGCATTCTGTGCAAAACTACGGCCCACTGCCCTCGGAGCTCGGTCCTCGCAGAGTACGCTCGCGTACGCAGTCGCGCGCTTCGCCCTACCCGCGCCAGGCCCCGCACCCTTCGTCGCCCGACTCTCAGCAGCGCCCGTCACACGCGGAGCTGAACCGCTCGTTCATCACCACGCACGCGCTCATGGAAGTCCACTCAAATATCGACATTCCCATGCCGCCCGTGCCTCGCCTCAACGAGAAGATGTCGCCGAAGCGCGAAAACGCCTGGGGTCTCGCGCCCAATGCGCGCCCGCGCGTCGCCTCTGCCACCCGGCGCTCAGCCCTCGGCTGGGCCAAGCGCAGCACCAAGGCGTCCACAGACCTCAAAGAGAATAGCACGACCGCGGTGTCTTTCATGATGACGTACGTTGCCCTCCCCTGCACCTCCGCAATTGCTGACTTGATTTTAGACCCGGTGAATCGCTGAGAATCACTCGCCCCCGCCCTCGCGGCCGTCCAACTCCCGCACGTCAGGGCGCCTCGACGCTGCGACAGGCGATGGCGGTCTGATTTCTCAAATTATCATCTTCCCATCCACCCACTCCTCACGCCCCTCATGCTCGATGATCCACGAACCCACATCTACCGAAACGAATCACGACCCGCCCACCCCACACGACCCACGATCCGACCCTTTCGATATTTCATCGATATATTTTTTGCATCTCATTTTACGATTGACTCTTTCTCTCACGATTGACTCTTTCTTGGCTCCGATACGAATGTTACGCCGCAAATCAAAATGTTTTCCGCCATGTTGCGCTCTGCTTTCTGTACTACCACCTGTACTAGTACTGGCTGCGGGGTGTCGCCGTGTTATTATTTACGCTCACATTTCACGCTCTTCTACGTACTTACGAACGTGTATCTGATTCTTGAAGAATTCATGTGCATTGTGTTCTTTTGGGTGATTCTAGCCTGTAAGTTAGTATAAATATGTAAAGCATTCGATCATGGAGATTATATACACCAACACCCCCACACACCCAACACGGTCACGGAACGCCCGCTTCATGCGCGTTCAATGTGTTCCTAGCCTCGATACACGCATAACAGTAGGAAGTAAGCCATTTAGCTCATTCCCAGGCGAGCGAAATGGGTCACAGCGCTGTGGCAGATACTTATCTTTTTGCAGCGCGTTCAACGGAAATGTTGCAAGCGCATGTACCCGTCCGAAATTGCGCTTTTGAATACATATCGCTGTCGCCAAAGGGAAGGTTCCTGTGGGATTTTGGAGAGAAACTAAAAAGGGGGGGCGGGTTCTTGGGGAACAAGCAAAGAGATAGCAGCAACTCGTTTCGATCGAGTGACCTCGGGGTTTCACTTTCTCAAGATATATGGGCCCCGCGCGCTTCCATCTGCGCCATGCTGCTGTGGAAGGGGCGCGGAACTGTCGACACAGGACGGTGAGGCCGCAATATCACGTACATACCTCGACCCAACCTCAACCATAAAGTGAAGGATATCTCAGTCAATATCGCGTGGTTCCACCTGGTTAATGCTTCAACCCAGGTGATAAGACGATCCGGATGGTCCGCACAGCGCAGACCTCGATGTCCCCCTCGAATTTGGGAATTTTTGTCCTGCAAAGCCAAAACTTGGGCAAAAATCGCTCTGGTCTGGGTGAGCAAAATTCGGGCTTTCGGCTTTGAAGTTCGTCAAAATCAGATTTACTTGCAGCTGTTTGCAGCGCTACACAACCCTTCCCCTCAGAGCACCTGAATTTGCGAACATCTTCTTCGGTGGGGCACGAATCGCCACAATAAAGCTCAAGCCTGTGCACGGGCTCCGGATTATCTGCGAGGTTCATCCCAACAAAACGATGTGAGCGGCCATTCTCCTTCCGTCCATGGTACCCATCCCTGAGCAGCACGACCGATTTCAAAGGACGCGCAATCCAGGGCGACCCGCGCGCGGACGGGGATTATGAGGTTCGGACTTGATAACACTCCTTTGCTATGCTAACTGCGCCTAAAGTTCATACGATCCAATGATGCGTCGACATATGCGTCCACAGACGGGTTCGCGGAGATGGTGCACTCGTACGGGGGCGACTGCATAGTGAGCTTCAAAAAGCGGGATGTTTCTGACGATCGCAGGCTGCGGATGTTCCTGGGCTTGGTGGCCGTGGCAGAGATACAGAGAGCAATGGGTGGCTAATGATCAGAGCTAATTCATGGGAAGGTAGAGTAGAAAATACATAACGCATCAAGTCCCTTTGTGATACAATTGCGTGTCAGAACCCGCTTTTCGAGTCCGGATTCAAGTCGGTGTTGGACCTTCCAGTCGAGCTGTACGTAGGTGGTGCGGCGTTGTAGCCGCTAGTGCGGGTGGCTGGCAAGGTAATGCCCGTTAGCGCGAGCGCAGCGTGCAAAAATAAGCACGTACTTGGGGCAGGTTCATGCTGCGACTCTGTAGGAGCGTAGCCAGTTCCCCAGAGCGCCTGATACGCCTCGGCCATCTCTTGTTTTCCCTTCCTCGCAACTTCGTGGTGTTTTTGCTCGCCGCGGGCCTCCCAGTCGTCGATACCGCCCAAGATCGTCCCGCGTGCTTGTTCACCCAGACCTGTGTGGATTGAGGCTCCCTCGATCGATCGTATCAGCAGATATGGGTTAGCTACCATGGACAAGAAGGTAGATGTTCCTGAATAGATGTTTAAGAGAGCGCCATTGAGAGTCTTCTAGTTACACACTGGACAGCGCCAAACATACCACCAGCGGCAGGGGCGGGGCGAGCAGCGTCAATGGCTTGTGCTGAGGTAGGCGCCCTCGAGGAGGTCCGCGAGGTGAGCAACTTGCTTGATTCTGTGTGTTGGCTCATTGTCGAGGAGAAAGCTTAGCAAGGAGAAAGAGGTGCTGCGGAGGCTGTGCATGCGTCATCAGACGAGTGGCGGTCACATGATCAGGCCGGCGGCGACGCGTCGCGTGTTAGTCGCGTGCGCAGTTTGTAGTTCTAATCCAGGGGAGAAAGTTAGAGTTTCCCTCATCCTCTTCATTTGATCGGCATCATGGATAGGGACGGGTCCTTCGATGAAAGTTCCAGTTGCTTGCATAGGTTGTCGGCGACTGCGGGTTCTACGTATACTTATCTCATTTCTCTTCGAATTTCTACCAAATTTGCTGGGTGATAATACGGGAAATGTCCTTGGAGACCTCTAAGTGCTTTGTTGGGATATCCCCGCACATCGCCGGGGGAGGGGTGTTCTGGGCCATGGCCCAGGGCTGTAGCTGCGCTTTGGCTGCGCTCGTTGTTTCCTATGATTGGTGCTGGCCAGTGAAGGCCGCATCCTCAGGCTCCGGGGCCACACCAAGATATCTATAGTCCAACAGGCTAGCCGCAGGAGCCGAAAAATATATGGCCGCTGCGTGATCGCCGCCGGTTCTGACGCATGGCCACCACATGGCAGAAACACGGGGTGACATGCCCCCGCCCCCTCCCCCGTCATGGACGTGACCCTAATTGGTATGGCCGTCTGACAGGGTCTGACCCGGATGTTTGGGTCTTGGAAACATCCTATTTCGGGGGCAGACCGTCGGCGAACTGCTGTTTTATTTATCGAATTGCCGTCACCTTGATATTTGTGGTTGTATCTACTTCTGACATAGCTTGCGCTCACGATGCTCGACCTCGCCACCGCAAACCCCCCAGTGCTCATCCCGGATGCTAACACTGTGTAAGTTTCATGTTCTCGCTGCTGATGGACCAACCTGACGAATGGCTAAGTATTGGCCCCCTTGTTCGTAAAAGCACCAAACATTACTCATCTCTGTCTAATGAGCGTGGCCGTAGTTCATAGGAAACTCGTTCAACTGGATGCTCATGGGAACACTACTGCTTCAAGTCTGTATGTGGCATTATGCATCAACTGGTCTGTTCGCGTTCTGAACAGCTTTGTAGATGCGTACTGGCTGAATTTTCCGAGAGATACGATGAGAATCAAGTCGCTCGGTGGGCTTATCATGAAAGCTCACTCATGAGCTCAACCCTAACATTCTATGGAGTGTATTCTGTCTTTGTTCTCGATCTCTTGCAAACGGGGTTCGGAACCCACGAAGTGTGGTGGTTTTCGGTTGAGAAATGGGGGAACACTGCAGCTCTTCAGGGAGGGTCCATGGACTGCAGTTGTAAGTCCAATATTATGCGGTATCAGTGAGCGTCTCAGACACATTCCCCCCACAAATGTCTCATATTCATCATCAGTTTCTGCGCTTGTTCAGCTATTCTACGCGATGTGGGGTTTCCTTCTGCTAACGGCTCGGATTTGCAGTGGCTCATCTTGAATCAGGCGAATCTGGGCTTTGAAGAGGACGGCGGCTCCCCGCGTGTTAGCTGGACTTATTGGGATGGTACGCCCTATCATCACCTTGCAGGTCTCCAACCCTTTGACTATCTGGCCCAGCTCGCACTTACACAAAGCCTGACCGCAATTGTGGCGTGTTCGCTTGTATGTGCCCCTGTGGTCATGCAGTATTGTCTCTAACATACACATTTCTATAAGCTCCAAACGGATCTCAGCCAAGAACATCTGATCCGCCTACGGCCTCTTTTTTCTGTCAGTCGCTTTCTCTTTAATTGCAGGCTCCTTCTCATTTATTACGCCAGATGTGGCTATCCGGAAGCTTTGCTAACGATATCCTCATCGCGGCTAGCATGATTTGGATCGTACGTCGAGCGTTGAAACCCGTTCCTTCTTAAGAAGATAGCCCAATGATCAATCACCCATTCACAGTTGCAAACTGCTAAATCCCCTACTACAGCATATATCTCCGACACCAACAGCTTACTCAACCGACTTATTCTGAACACCATTCGGACAGGGACGATTACAGTCCTCGGCGCCGGAGTTTCTTTGGCGTTATTTGTCCAATTCACGGATAGAAACTACTATTTTGCCATGTGTGTTCAACCTTTCAATTTACATGCCAGAACGGTTGATTAACCACGAAACAGAACCTATATCCTGGGGAAATTGTGGGACAAACTAGTCACTGGGGATCCCGGCTTAGACCATTCTAGGTACTCCAACAGTTTCATGGCCACGTTGAACTCTCGCGTACCTCGAACACACGCTTCACCTTCCGACTCGATTCGCATGCGAATCCAGGTCTCCCGGGAGACTGAAATAGCTCAGGAAGGGGTAAAGTTCGCCCCGCCGGGCAAGAAGGACTGGCAGATGGTACTTTCGTGGCACCTGATACTTCAGCGAGTTCACATCGATGACACACAGAGTGCGCAATTTAATGCTGAAGATGTGCCCATTCAAAAGGATACAAGCTCGACAGCGGCATCAATAGGTTTCGGCAGGAATGAAGAATGCACCTAGATATTCCTCTTTCTATCCACGTGTTCACTTACCAAATCGACTTTCTAACTCGAAGGTTCCGACCATGGTGGAGCCGGGGAGAGTCTATGACCAGATTTTTTGCGGGACAGATCACAATGCGAGCTTTGGGACTCTTGGCGCGTCGCGCACGCAATTTAAGGCAAAATCTGGTTCGAATCCACACACCGAGGCTCAGGCCGCCGAAGATTCGTCGTTTTGATGCGCCACGTGACCGTATAGACGACGCCGAAACAAGCCGAAACCCGCCGCCTTCCTATATATAGAAAGCCCGACGCATTTCGGCGCAACCGAGACGAGTGCGCGGACTTGAGACCAAAATCAACTGTCCCGAAGCTCTAGTAGTCCTAGCGTGACAAAAAAAATTGACTACCGCGTACTAAGTTAGACTAACGGGCAACTCAACATCGGCCTGACGTGTGACGGGTTCCATTCAACAAAAATATCACAGTACCGGTTGGTACGCCGATTACCGGTCCATAGTACGTATTAATTTACACTCTACTAGGAGCTCGAGCCTCAAGCCATCAAAGGCGGCGACAGAGCTACAGTATATTCTCAGCGGCGATTCCCAATCTGGCGCAGCGGGATCACATGTATCATGGTTGGACCCACAAAGAGTTATGTTAGGAGCCTCTCCCAGCCGTTATCAGGCACATACACATGTCCAGAACTCCCCCAAAGTGACGGTTCTCACCCGCAACAACGGTACTTAATGAATACTGGGAGTCAAAAGGAATGGACGAGCGCACTGCAAGTTCCCTCAGATTCGTGCTACCATGTCTCTGAAGCTATGGGTACCTCTCGTGGTTGCTCCAGCGTTCCTGGCGGCTATGCTGCTCAGAAGGAAAGCCATTGCCCCTCTGCCCCCCGGTCCGCGCCGGAAACCGCTGATCGGTAACCTGCTTGATGTCCCGTTCAACAATCCGTGGGCTGTTTTTGAGGCTTGGAGGAAGAAATATGGTACGCCATCGATCTTTTGAGACCAGCAAGTCATTGAGAGAGAACACTTCAATAGGGGATGTCGTGTAT